CTATGAACGGCCTTCGTGTGGGGTGTACGTGTCACCAGTAGTCACAGAAGTGCTTTGTCACGAGAGGTTGCGATAAATAAGAAAGTGTAACATCGGCAGTCATGGTTATTATTGTTTTCATTTTAAGGAATGTTAATTTAGTGTGCAGGAAAAACACATTCACTTGGCAAGGGTCTAGCAATGAATTCCTTTGTAAATTGTTGGAAACATAATCTTCTTCGTTTATTCTTAGACTACAGTAATCTGCATACTGTATTTAAATTTCAGCATTAGACCCAAAAAATGTGTCTTCTCGACATAGGACGCGGTGACTTGGTTTTAACTGTATACTGTGCTCGAATAAATTCATCAAAGGTTGATTCGAAGCAACAAAACATCCTCCGTATGTGGCGCATTTTACCGGTACTTGAAATTGCAAAAAAAAAAAAAAAATGACGCGAGAAGCAAAGTGTTGTTGTTGACCATATTGATTCTACCTTCCCAGGGATAACTGGGATGAACAAAATAACGGGGGTCTGCCATATTTCGTATATTGGGTATATTTCACGACCACAAACAGCGGGATATTTTATATTTCTCTGTGTAGTAGTAGAAATTCAATTTTGGTCGTAAGATGCTCCATAGTTTTATCATTCAAAGTACAACATGGTAATATACATGTTCTGGCCGACATTCAGGTGGTCAGTCACAACGCCGGGAGCGAGCACGACACGCGTGCTTCTGCATCTTTCCCAAGTGACCTAAAATTGCCGCCTGGTTCGATAGACATCGTACTATTGGGACCTGGATGTGCCTGTTTCGGACACTCAAATTTCAGTGTAAAAGTTATAGTGAATGTGATTGCTCATAAAATAGGCGCCATCTAGAAGTTGTTGTGAAATCATTTGTAAACAACGCATAACAATTGGTAAATTTACGAGGTTTTAGTCTTTCTGCACATTCCCCGACAACTTCAAGTTCAATGTTCTTTCATTATAAATCGTTATTGCAAATAGGGTGTTAATTCACAGTGCTAGTATAATATCAAAGGTATATTGGCAGTGTACATCTGATTATATTTAATATACATGTGGCATGCTTGAATGTGCAATTTTCAGTAAAATAACGTCTTGCTTTAGCACTTGGCAGATGCCTACTACAAATGTTGTAATGACAGGTAGTCTGTTTTTTGTCTGACAACTCGTGTATACTCACCTGGTTCCTAATCGCGTGAACCCCATGGGACTTATTCTGTTCTTCGTTATCTGGTTCGGGCTTCGATAAACAACTCGATTCATTTGTAGCCATTTGAATGTTTCCTTCGTGGGACGCATCGGGCTCGTTTTCTACCTTGTCAACATTGGCGGAAGATGATACAATGGTTTCACTCTCCGATTTAGCCTGCTGTTTTAACCACTTGCCATACAAACGTCGCTCGACGTAATATTCGGACGACGGCGGCTCTCCTTTATTTAGAACTCCCTTCTTTAACGCGTAATTTCCGTTCTTTGTATGCTGCATCATCCATCGTTCTTGCCAACGTTGCTCTATATAAAAATTCGGAAATGAGTAACATGTACATTTCTTTCTCTTCTCGCAATTTCTTGAACCGTGACTTTTCATGGATTGTGTTGCCAGCCAAGCTTTGTACGAATTTAGTTGTGTATAATAAATTGCCGGATATTCCATGCCATTGTCGGAATCTGGGCGAGATTCCGGCTTCATCTGATTATGGCTTTTTGCTGTATTACGCTTCTTTGATTTGTGGAACTCGGTTTGGTTGCGCGTATTTTTGCCGATCTTCTCCATCTCAGTAATTTCTTCTATTCTCGGCCGGTAGATATGGCATGAATCTCTAGATGGTTCAGTGGCGCATAGCATGTAGCGCGTGGTCTGTATACACTATGTTCCGAATCCGAAGCCGACATTCAATTCGTTCGTTCTTTAGAATATTAGATTCGTGTTTCGCTATTTCTCGGCGTCCCTTGTAAATGTTAAAGGGCGGCAGTCGTCGTGCCGCGTCCTTGCTCGACATGGGACTCATAGCGACGTATACAACGCATGAAATTCGAACACGCACTTGCGCGACGACCACCGCGCTTTAAGCTCACGTGGCTCAACTTTCAAGTTGAAGGCAGGAGTTACATAATACTTGTTTTTGCGGCCCAGTGGAAACTAATGTTTCTCCGCGATAAATAATTTACATGTCAGACAAGTAAGAGATGAGAAACGCGGTAATGACATTCTATTACACAACATGAATGTACGTCACTGAAACTTGGTGCGTATTTATTTTACATCTTCTAGAACGTACAAAACGCGTTTTATTTATTCATTCACTTTATTCAATGTATTATGATATTATTACTGGAAGTGTCAGTAGTCGTCCAGAAATACATTGTATCGTATCGTATCGTATACATTACTGCGTATCTACTCTGGGATATTTTCGACTGAATAATGGGGCTTATCATTTTATTCCCCGCGACTAATTAAGTTTCGGTTCTCCTGGTTTAACTGGTTGTACTAATTACATTTCAGTTCTTTGAAAAAGAAGAGAGGTGACGACTCTTTTCCAAAAAAATTGCTATTGGTTATGGTCCGAGACAGTGACAGTTCTGTTAAAAACTGGTTCATATCTTGAGTACTATAAATATCAAGGCTGGCTAATTTGTGCGAGATATTGAAATTAATTGTTTGTTAAAGATCACATTATAAATATCTCTTCTCTGCCGTCCCTAAATTTTCAGTTGCGCCCTCTATCGACTGCTCCAAATTTTTAAAACGAGACAGATTACATGACCCGATATAGATATATGGAAGACGACTAAAGCATGTGGTTTTCACAGGATCTTATAAAATCAATGTTTTTGCGTTTATTATGTCGCATTATAAACACTTATTTTATACTGTTTGCACTTTGTAGCGCAGGTTCAAAGCCTAGTAACTACGCAATCCATTAGCGGCGTATGGCGGATATTAGTTAATAATTATCATGTTGATACTCAGCCACGCCTTGATATTTGACAGAAATCTAAGATTGTTGTACTGTTAATTGGTAACCCGACCGGAAGGCTGGAGAAATTGAGTTGGCAGCCGTCACCATTGCTTTCGATTGGTTTAGGAGTAAAACCCGAACTATCAGCACCTCTACCGTGCAAGTGTTTGAGCAATTTCATAGGTCTGTGCGTTTGTTGTTAAGCACGCATTTTTGAAACACTGAAAGATAACCAAAAAATCAACAAAACAAATTTCTAATAAATTCTATATTATAATTGCTCTCGTCGCCATACCCACATTTCGTTTTTGACTAATACTATCACAGTCCCTCAACAGTGATACTACATACTCAGTTGCTGTAATATGAATGGCGGTGAACGTCACGCACTGCAGTGTTCGCATTTTATGTAAATAAACAATGTATATTACACGCGTTGTGTACTCGCTACGAGTCCCATATCGAACAGGACGCGGCGCGACGACCACCGATCTTTAGGGTAGAAGCCTTGTCATAATTTTTGTCAAAGTTGGTCATAAATCACATGACAATGTTCATTAGTTTATTATGTACAATAATTTATGTGTTACAGTTAAGCTTTTAATTATTTTAAGTAATTTTAGCGAAAACAAATGTGACCGCGAAAAAGGCTAAATTGAGAATTAATTATATATATTTTTTGTGAAACAAAAACGAAGTCCCGACTTTAAACTACAGTTGAAGATATTGAATGAGCTATGCATGGCAGCTGTTCTCGTTTGTCATGACTTTGACGCTTTGGGTATGTGATCTTGGATACGAGTAATTCGACCAGCAAATAGGCTCACACTTTGCAGACTTGTCACAACTACTATATATTGTCTAGAACCAAATTAACCTTCATAATATTCAAAATGATAAATGCACGGAAATTATCGATTGCGACTGCCCCAAAAGAGATATTTGCACTCAGTCACTGGAACAAAACTCATCCAATATTTTTCACAGATGAACTTAACAATGATATATGTATAAAGTGCTTTACCAGATTTATTTTAAAATTATTTTCTTTCTAATATTAAGAGATCATATATGTAAAAGTTTTAAATATAGTTGATAAATATCAAAGGCACCTCAGCAGACAAAATTAAAAATCATTTTTTGGTCATTTTTGGGCCAAAATTCAAAAATGGTCCAATGGTCCAAGAAACTCCTGTGTACTGAAGGTATAATATTTAAAATTTAGCCTGGTGACTGGTATAGCTCTGCCTCAGAGACGTACACAGTGAAAACAATATTGAAATTGATTATACAGAAAACACTGCACTTAATTTAACTCTTTGTTCACTCTGGGCAGTCTCTCACCGATTGTCCCAGCGCGGGGCATTATCTATATATAGCCCGCCATACTTAGTCAACATTCATGTTAATTTTGCAGACCATAACTGTCTGTGAATTCCATAGTTAGAGTACAGGGAGCCCAGGAACTATAATCAACTGTAATACGTAGTCTCTATGAGCGGGGGGGGGGGGGGGGGGTTATCAGCTGGTATCTAGTGTAAGAAACAGACAAGGGATGAAGGCTCCAGCCAGCTCACATTTTTTAAACTCGAAAAAACAGACGAAAAAAATAAAAAATAAAATCTAAAAAAAATACCAGGTTGAAGAATATTAGTTGCTCCTTCGAATTTCGCCAAAGCCTTACCTACATTTTAAAGATATCTGCAGAATAAATCAAGAAAACTACACAAATTGACTCCATTTAGGAATTCCTAACGGTTAGTCCGAACGCAGGACACTGTTGGAGGCGTGGCCTGTTCAGCATTTGTCAACAACCAATCACAAGACTGGTTACGAACCAGTTGAGCAAGGTTAACCGAGTTGCGACTCAATTCCCCGTGCGTTAGTAGGTGGACGACCCTCCCGCTTTAAACTCTCAACTTCAAGCTCAAAGGCCAGCATCCTTTCCCTTGATCTACTACCACACATGCGCACATATACATACATACATACATACAGACAGACAGACAGACAGACAGACAGGTTAACTGCATAGACTCCCATTTTATGTTTTGCACACAGTATTCAGTAAGCACACAAGCACCATATTTGAATTAAATTTTTTTTACACATGGCTTTGTAAATACAGTTTTCATCACTTTGTAAAACTATTTTAGCCAAAAATATGTAAAGATACATGTTAACATGCCGGTATATACAGAAACATTGAAAATGATTTGTGTTACAAATAATTCAGTTTTTAAAAAAATCCACCATGGCAAGCTTACAAAGTCCGGTATTTAAAACAAAAGCTATTAATGCAAATCAATATTCAAAAGTGAATATTCACACAATCTATAAAAAGATAATAAGTGAGAATTTCAGAATACATTTGCTGTACTGTGTTCATAATACAAAGTGAGATACAGAGCACAATATATTATCACTGGCCCCAATTGTGTATTTAGTGAGGGCCATACAAACCTGAGTTAATCCAATTATTCAAATTATATTTGAAAACTGTCACTAATAGTCTTCAAATCAGTTACTTTCCCCTCATTAAACTACCCACAAAGAGTACAATATATACGAAGTCAGGTGCAATTGTGATCGTTGTGGTGAAGTTAGGTATTTAAATTTTGTATAAACACACATTTATACTGTACATGCTGTATGGGACCCATGTCCAGTGCATCACACCAAGACAACCACCACTGATCTTTAACGCATATGTAATTGTTCACTTAGAGAGTACATTTCTTGTGCATGTTTTTTTTTTTTTGGAAGGAAAGTATAACAGATATTTAGAATTAAAAATTTGGCTGAAATGTGAGAGAAATTTAAAGTTAATTTAAAACACCATCAGTTATCCATAGACAAATAAACCTATAAACTTAAAGTTTAAAGGGCGGCAGTCATCGCGTCACGTTCTGTTCGATATGGGACTCATAGCAGCGTATACAACGCGTGTAAAATACATTGTTTATTTACATGAAGTTCCAACACGCGATAAGTTTAAGCAAAAAAGAAAAAAACACTTCATGTTATAGTATTGGCAAAACAGACTTGTTAAAATAAATAAATAAAATCTGATCTTGAGTATATTATGTATTCAAACAAGAGATGCGGATAAAAACTCAAAACCTCTTCAAATTGCAAATCTATCCAAGAGGTATCATCTCAGGCATAGAAGGAACCCATTTTAAACTCAAACAAAATAATACTTACAAATGATATTAACTTGAGTTATTGCAATTCTAGAAAAAAGTCTCCCAACTATACACAGACCATCATTGTTACAATGAAACACAAGCTTGTGTAAATAATCATTCTGGCAAGAACATTTTTCGGGTCAAAGTTCATATTTATTTTCTATATCCAAATGGTGTGTAAAAAAAGTTGCCAGTTTTCACTCGTCTTTTGAGCTCATCATAGAGAAGTCGACTTTCTTTACCAACGCCTTTCATCAGGTCTCGATTTTCACACGCACGCCGCGAAAGGTACGGCAAGACTTCCTCTACTGGGCCATAGGGCACATACTTGTATACGCCATAGCCGGCTTGCCCTGGAAAAACACAAATGAATGGGTGAGTATTAATAAGAAAACTACCAGCATAAAATTGTAACAGTTTGCAAAATAGAGAATTGTTCCAGTGTATATTACATTTAAGTACATGGCATACTTTAAAGCACAGATCTCTACTTACTAGGTCCTCCAATTCAAAACACGACAAATTTTATTCCATACATTAAGAACGCTTTTTTTTGAGTGGCATGCATTACAGGAGAATCGATGGGTCTCTCAATGTCTGACCTCAGAATTCTAAGAAGGGGGGGGGGTATTTAAGGCACCTAATACAGAATGAGCGGATAGGAAATTTATAAGTTAAGGAAACGTTAAATAGTCAGAATTTGGTAGCATATTGCAAAAACAAAAATACTTACCCAGTGGATAAGTGATTTGATCACACATTCCCAGTAACTGACCAAAATACACCAATTGATCCCTGCGCCCTATACACAAGTCATTCATCCTATAAGAGATAATAAACAACAACATGTTATTGTTTGTCAAATCAAAAAAAGTTCACTTAAGAGATAAATATATTGTATGCTGCACACACGAGTGTCTATCTGTGGAATTAGTGTCGTATCAAGGCATCACAGTTATCGAGCAGTGTGTGTTCAAATTTAAATAAATACTGTTACATACATCATGTAAGATCCAGCAGTAAAAACAACGGGATGTAATGATTGCAGCATTTTGAAGCAGAGATAGAAAATCAACGTATAAAGTATAAATGCTAGAATTGTGAATTATTGAGAAATTGTATCAGGAGGTTTGTTTTTGTTGAGAATTTAATTATTTTAGCATTAATAAAGAATGCGGTCACTTTATTAGAATCGTAACTGGCAAAAGACTGGTTTATTTGCATTATGACTATCGTGCATTGAGCCCATTTTCAGCTACTTCAACATTTTAACAATGTGAAAAACAATTACTGAGAATACAAATGTGTGCAATTTTGAAAAAATAGACACAGAAAATATTCACATCCAATAAAGAACGGCACGTACTAGTATCAAGACATAACCAACGCCATCCATATTTGGACGAATAGTTCAAATTTTTCGCAAACCCGTACCAAGCACACCAAGTATATTTTGTATTGTAAAGCACCAAATGACTCAACCCTGGAGGTTGTCTAATAAAGTAGACTTGTGTACTCAAACCTAGTTAATAGACAAAACATAGCAAGTACCTTTGTACAGTAAACTTAATAGTATCCTCATTATGCGATGCAACCATTATATTAATTTTCCCATACTGTTTTATTTGTCGCAACACAGTGTCCAAGACCATCATGTAATTCTGATTCGTAGCTTCGTAACTTTCACAGCAGGGATCACTATAACCAATCTCCCAGGCTCGTTTTCTTTCTTGGTCTAGATAAGCACCACGTACAAGTTTGGCCCCGAAGTAGAAATTTTCATTTCTTGAGTAACTCATGTCAACTGTAATATTGTCATAGGCATCCTTGAAAAGTGATAGATAAGAAAGGTTTCAATAATTATGCTATGTTTCCATTACAGTTGGAAAATAGGTGCCCTACCATAAAATATTTCCATTAGAATCAAGTTTGGGTAACCCCCACTGTATATTTGATCTTATTTATTTTGCCCAGCAAGATATCTAGAAATTGCAGTGCATTTCAATTGGCTGCATTTCTACATACAAATCAGGTCCATAATTTGATAACTAAATTGCATACCCTACGTTTTTACTCCAGGCTTTTTAAATCATAGAGAATAGTGGGAAGGGTGTTATGACATTTTTGAATAAAGAATTCTCTGTCTGTTTTCTCATTCAAAACCTTCATTACCATATATTGCTTGAAAGCTAGTCGTTTGTTTACATAAGTGTCATGTGACAGATTACTAGTGCTTGTAATTGCTGGACATTGTCAAAATGACTAAACTTGCGATTTCCATTCCAGGTGAATGTGTCCAGACAGTTCTAGGAACTTGTTTTTTTTAATATGTATAGAGAGAGAGAGAGTATCTAGCCGAGTAATTCACCACTAGTTAAACATCTTTGATCAAGACGGTATTCCGTGACAAAGCATTGTATCTTTACAACCCAGACACATTAAGAATTCTCATTGTCTTGTGTATCATCGGTGTAAATTTGAAACATGTGGCATTAAACTAACATATAGTAGATTCTACAGGGGGTCAAAAGAGATAGTTACGTTCATGTTTTTAAGTTGAGAAAACACATAAATAGTGCAGCAACTATTAATGTGAATATTTTGTTCTACTATTACAACAAAATACCTAAATTTTACAATTTATTTACCAGTTTTACTGCAGAACATATTAATGATACTGTTAA